GACACGATTTGATCCAGGAGGGATCAATCATTAGATTTCAGCCAGTGATTTCTGGCTGAAATCACATGATCGGTCCCTGTCCTATCCTGTCCTGTGTTGATATTTACACAGGGCAGAATATGATGTCATTCTTCTCTGCCTGGACACATTCCGTTCCAGACAGAGAAGAAGACATCCAAAAAAAGTGAGTACACAAGCACTACACTACAGTTAGAACACTCTAGGACACATTTAACCCCCTGATCGCCCCCCCCCCCCCCCCCAGTTAACCCTTCACTGCCCTGTCACCAGTGTCACTGATCAGTGAAGCGATTTTTACTGATCAGTGTCGCTGGCGACTTTCGATAGAGTTAGCGCCCCTCCCAGATAGCGCCAGATTGCCCGCCAGTACACCAGTAATCTGTTAAACCCCTTGATCCCCTCCCCCAGTTAACCCCTGCACTGCCCTGTCACCAGTGTCACTGATCAGTGAACCAATTTTTACTGATCACTGTATCAGTGTCGCTGGCGACTTCCGATAGAGTTAGCGCCCCTCCCAGATAGCGCCAGTTTGCCCGCCAGTACACCAGTAATCCCGTTTAACCCCTTGATCGCCCCCCCCCCCCCCCCCAGTTAACCCCTTCACTGCCCTGTCACCAGTGTCACTGATCAGTGAACCAATTTTTACTGATCACTGTATCAGTGTCGCTGGCGACTTCCAATAGTGTTAGCGCCCCTCCCAGATAGCGCCAGATTGCCCGCTAATACACCAATAATCCTGTCTAACCCCTTGATCGCCCCCCCCCCCCCCCCGAGTTGACCCCTTCACTGCCCTGTCACCAGTGTCATTGATCAGTGAACAGATATTTACTGATCACTGTATCAGTGTCGCTGGCGACTTCCGATAGTGTTAGCGCCCCTCCCAGATAGCGCCAGTTTGCCTGCTAGTGCACCAGAAATCCCATTTAACCCCTTGATTGCCCCCCCCCCCCCACAGTTAACCCCTTCACTGCCCTGTCACCAGTGTCATTGATTACAGTGAACAGATTTTTTACTGATCACTGTATTAGTGTCACTGGTGACTTCCGATAGTGTTAGCGCCCCTCCTAGATAGCGCCAGTTTGCTCGCTAATGCACGGGATTTTTTTTACCAAACACATGTAGCAGAATACATTTTGGCTTAAATTTATGACTAACTTTGAGTTTACGATATATTTTTTATAGCTGAAAGTAGAAAATATTGTTTTTTTTTTTCAAAATTTTTGTTTTTTTTTTTGTTTATAGCGCAAAAAATAAAAAGCGCACAGGTGATCAAATACCACCAAAAGAAAGCTCTATTTGTGTGAAAAAAAAGGACTTAAATTTTGTTTGGGTGCAGCATTGCATGACCGCGCAATTATCATTTGAATTAGTGCAGCGCCAAACAGCAAAAAAAGGCCTGGTCATTAAGGGGGGTAAATCCTCAGGAGCTCAAGTGGTTAAGTACCATCTCTATGCTGATGATACACAAATCTATCTTTCTACTCACCCTTTCAGTCTCCTCTCGAATTACTAACCTACTAAGTGACATATCGGCATGGATGTCACTCCACTTCCTAAAAATCAATCTTTCCAAAACTGAGCTCACAGCTTGTTGCTGATCATTCTAACCCAGCGGTTCTCAACCTGGGGGTCGCGACCCCTTTGGGGGTCGAACGACCATTTCCCAGCGGTCGCCTAAGACCATCGGAAAACACATATTTCCGATGGTCTTAGGAACCGAGACACCGCTCCTCTCTCCGGCGATGTGTGGGCGGGATGATACGCTGCTCCTGTCACCTGGCCACACCGCCGGGATCGCTCAGCAGCTCCGCCTCCTCGCCGCTGATTGGCCACCGGAACTGTAGCTCAGGAGAGGCACACAGGCGGCCAATCACCGGCGAGGAGGTGGAGCTTGGAGAGGAGGAGCCGAGCGGCAGCGCGCGTACATCAAAGAAGATCGAGGGAGCTGCCGGAGCGAGTGAAGAGGAGAGCGGCCAGAGAAGGAAGACAGCTGACAGGTAAGTGTGAGAGAGCGAGCCCAGGCTGTCACTAATACCAACGATGGGGCACTATTCCTCCCCCCACTGACACCAACGATGGGGCACTATTCCTCCCCCCACTGACACCAACGATGGGGCACTATTCCTCCCCCCACTGACACCAACGATGGGGCACTATTCCTCCCCCCACTGACACCAACGATGGGACACTATTTCCCCCCCCCCACTGACACCAACGATGGGACACTATTTCCCCCCCCCGACCCCAATGATGGGGCACTATTCTCCCCTCCACCACACTGACATCAATGATGGGGCACTATTCCTCCCACTGACACCAATGATGGGCCACTATTCCCCCCCCACTGACACCAACGATGGGACACTATTCCCCCCCCCCACCCCAATGGTGGGGCACTATTCTCCCCTCCACCACACTGACATCAATGATGGGGCACTACTCCCCCCCACTGATATCAACGATGGGGCACTATTCCTCCCACTGACACCAATGATGGGGCACTATTCCTCCCACTGACACCAATGATGTGGCACTATTCCTCCCACTGACACCAGTGATGGGGCACTACTCCCCCCACTGACACCAGTGATGGGGCACTATTCCTCCCACTGACACCAGTGATGGGGCACTACTCCCCCCACTGACACCAGTGATGGAGCACTATTCCTCCCACTGACACCAATGATGGGGCACTACTCCCCCCACTGACACCAATGATGGGGCACTACTCCCCCCACTGATACCAACGATGGGGCACTACTCCTTCCACTGACACCAATGATGTGGCACTACTCCCCCCACTGACACCAATGATGGGGCACTACTCCCCCCACTGATACCAACGATGGGGCACTACTCCTTCCACTGACACCAATGATGTGGCACTACTCCTCCCACTGCAAAATTACAGTTATGAAGTAGCAACGAAAATAATTTTATGGTTGGGGGTCACCACAACATGAGGAACTGTATTAAGGGGTCGCGGCATTAGAAAGGTTGAGAACCACTGTTCTAACCTGCCCAGAGGATGATGCGTCTCCCGATCATTAGAAGGATTCTCATTAGAACGTTCAGAATGGCCGCATGAAATTCTGAAATGATCGAGAAGAAATGTGAATGTTTAGTCGTACCCCCTCCCCTCCCCAGAGATCCCTCAGACAGTGTGTGGGAATTGTCGGATTTATTTCTATGAGATCTTCTATATCGGACATGCGGAGCAGTGCGCACTCAGCGATGTCGGTGTATGTATGGAGAGCTCTGTTGGGGGGAGGGTGGGGGCTCTGAGAAGAGCCTTTGGGGGGTGGAGAAGGAGGTCGCCGCCCATTATTTCTTCTTCGGAGCGGCCTTCTTGGGCTTAGCCGCCTTCTTAGCTGCCGGCTTGGCCTTAGCGGGACTCTTGGCGGCTTTTTTCGGCTTGGCTGCAGCTTTGCTCTTCTTGGGGCTCTTGGTCACCTTCTTGGCTGCAGCCTTTGCCGGTCTCTTGACGGCCGGCTTCTTGGGGCTCTTGGCTGCGGTGAATGATTTGCTGGCCGCCTTCTTCTTCGGGGACTTGACGACCTTCTTGGGACTCTTGGTGGGGGCTTTGCTGGCCACCTTCTTCTTAGGGGACTTTGTAGCCTTCTTAGCAGCCGGTTTCTTGGGCTTCGCCTTGGCGCCGTCGGGCTGCTTCTTGTTGTTGATCTTGAACGATCCGGAGGCCCCATGGCCTTTGACCTGGACGAGGCTTCCCTTAGTCACACACCAGCGCCAAGAGGGCGATCTTCAGGCGGCTCTTGTTCTTGTCCACATCGTATCCTCCGGCGGACAGGACCTTCTTCAGGGCGGCCAGGGACACCCCGCTGCGCTCCTTGGAAGCGGACACGGCTTGGACGAGGAGCTCGGACACGCGGGGACCGGACGCCTTCTTGATGCCTTTCTTGGCTCCTCCTCCGGCTGCCGGCTTCTTCTTGGCGGCGGCCTCCGCTGGAGGAGGGGCGGCTGGGGCGCTCTCAGTCTCCGTCATGACTCGGGAAATGTTTCCACAATAGTTCATTACAAATCACACGGCGCTCCGCCTTATATACAGACCTTCTAACACTGCGATTGGTTGACACACAACTCCACTCTGTCCTGCTATTGGTTACACATCACACACGCCCACTGGATGTCTCTCCACACAGTCGGGGATTCTTCTCTCTCTCGTTGTGTTTCCGGGCAGAGAGAAAACCGATTTTATTCCAAAATAGAACGATGTCCGATGTGCCCCGGGGAGCCGATCTGCTCCCTGGACTGTCACTTATCGGGGGTCACTTCCAGCTGTCAGGAGCTGCTCACGAGGCTGAACACAGAGGCTGCAAACACAACCATCCTCCGGATTGGGGGGCCCATTCTGCCTTCTACCTGCTTGGGGGAACACATTCTACCCACAAAACAATCTGCTCCCATCCCCACTACAATCCGCTTCACATTACACGAGGGAAGAGGGGAGATCACCAAACATTTCCCTCTAATACACAACTCGGCTCATCTCTAGCTGACTACAAGGAGCCGGGAACAAAAAACATCGGCCGATCACAAGAGATCCTTGTGTCCTGTCATGGCAGACATTGGGAGACATACAAAGGGCTCCGCCCATTACAGGGTGTCAGGTGTCATGGCCTAGGGGTCATTATTGGACCATCATCACAAATGGACATTGAGAGCCAAATCCCGCCAATGACTTGATTGCCGCATTTCACTCCACAGCTCCATAGACTGCTCAGGGGGGAGGTTTGCTCGGAATCCTCGGATCTACAATAGGATTTGATGCTTTCAGTGATGGAAGTCAATCCATCACATTTGGATTCCCTGAGAGATCATTTCAGGAATAGGAAGTTTGCTGCAAATCCCATTCTTGTCTATCATGTGGGGAATGTGGAGAGGAAATGTCGGCTATTTGGAGGGGAATGAGCGGTGGGGTTCCTCTAAGACCAACACATGTCTACTGACCCTGACACTTCTTTTCTTTGTACTAACATGTAAAAGCCTCCAGGGTGTTCCCTTCTCCTCAGTCCAAGGAGAAAGAATTGCACCGACAAGAAGGGAATACACCAAACGATGGACCTGAAAAACAACAAAGTATCGCCGACAGGATTCACTTGTTACAATGCAGCTTTTTTTTCTGCTCTCTGCGTCTCCATCTTCAGGTGTTTCGTACCATGTTAGTAAGTTGTCTCAGGTAAGAGGGAAAAGTAAACCGAATAATGCCGAATGTTTAGTTTGTACACCAAAATGACCGGGAGTGGAAAAAAAGGGGGGGATTAAGGGGGGGTGGGAACATTCACATCACCTGGGAGACTTACGACCCCTTTGATAAATATCGTTCAGCCTGTCATGTCTACACGGCTTCTCTCATCCAAGAGCAATACCGCATCCCTCTCTAGATTCCACAAAGCCACGCTCCTCTCTATCCGGGACGAGACTAGCACCTGACTTAATTGGTGGGTGGATGATTGGCTGCAATGCTCAACACTCTCACCATTAGGTGTCACTATATTACACACATAGACGGGAATGGATGTCAACACGTTGTTACTTTAAATATGCTTGTCTCTTTCTTCTCTGCGTGATACATTGTTGCAATCCATCAACATTTAAGCGATTCTTCACCCAAGGATCATTATCAGATAATGAGAACAATTTGCTGAAATCCTGCACAATATTATAACGTCTCATTGGTGGATCCAAGGGTTGTCCCTGTTTTTGCCTCAGATCAAGAAAAGCGGAATAGTATTAATATTATCTCTGATATGAAAGATTATCTATTGTACTAATATTCAAGGATCAGTATAGTAGTGCCGAACAGTGTTTGTGCAGTGCTAGTAAAAAAAATATAAATGGAACAATAAACAATGCAAACTCAATACAAGAGGGTTAGGGCATTTTTCCTTATGAGAATCCAGTTGAAGCTTACAATCTAGTTTTCGTACACTAAGGGGCTTATGTGGGACAAAAGCCTATAACAACGCTGCAAAATTTATTTAAACTGATTCTAATGGAATAATATAAAAAGCAATTTTACTGGAAATTGCATATTTAGAGAATAATCCCCCCCACCACACCCAAAAAAAAAAGTCATGTTTTATACATTTTGACCTCATAAATTTATGACAACACTTAAAAAGTGTTTTTTTTTGGATATAAACATTATGATGCCTGAAGAAATGAAACAAATAAATTATAAATTTCTGTTGTTTTTTGGTTTTAGTTGTAGGAAAAAAAATGCAGAACGCACAGCAGGGCTGAATCATATTACTAACCATATACAATAAATTGATATTTCCTTTTTAAAAAAGGACAGAAAGTCCCCCCCCCCCCCTTAATTTATGTACAGCATTCAGGAACATGACCACGCAATTGCAGTTAAACTGCAGCGGGGGGGGGGGGGCAGTAGCATCGCTGTATATGCAAAAAATGGTACTAAAAATTGTACATGTATCATATACCATATTTGTAGACTGTATAACTTGTCACTACAATCAATAAACGTATACACTTATTGTCGATTGTTACCAACACAAACATGTAACAGAATACAATTTGGCCTACCCTGTATACTAAATTTTGAGTTTACTATATGAATTTGACTTTTATAGTGACAAAAGTATTTTTTTTCAAAACTCATAGGCGGGGACCTTTTTTTTATTAGCACAAACAGATTATAAAATGTAAAAAACTGTAGGTGGTCAAATACCACCAAGAGAAAGCTCTATTTGTCTATTAAAATAAATGATACGCATAATTCGCATCGTTTGGTACACGCCATAGTGCAATGACCGCGAACAATAAACCAGTTTGAAATATAGTGCAGCTCCAACTAACCAAAGAGAGCGTGGTTCAGGACTTGTGATATATAAAGTCCATCAAATGACAAAAAATGTTTCCATCGCCAGTCATGTAATCATCGTGCAATAACACGCATCCAGTGATGTCCTGATGATAGACCAGACTTGCCCAAAATTGAAAAAAAGAAAACAAGCCGAAGCCCACTCTGTCGTCTAAGCCGAACCCGCCGAGCATGCTCTTACATCTGACAGCATGAAACTGTCAGACCTGTCTTACTCGCAAAGATAAAAATAGGGAAAGCATGTGCACGGGATTCACCGCAATAGCTTACTTTTTTTTTGGTATTGCTTTAATGGTATAAATCGGCATCCTTGAGATGTCGCAAACGCTGGACCCCGTGAAGTTGAACAAGAATCAAATTCACAGTATGATGGAGCGATTTTAAAATGGCTTTTGTGGAAATATATTATTAAGGACTTCGCTAGGCGCGGGGAAACATTTGTTCTGGTATTTTGTTTAAATTAGAGACATTTTTAAAAGAATTGTCTAATTTTTCTTATACTGCATTTAAGACCCCTTTTTCATGAATGGTAGATGTTGCAAAGAAACCCTTACGCTCAGTACTCTCACAAATATCAAGTCCGACGCCCTTATTTAAAAAATGAGATAATGCCACAGATAAAAGCTCCTTGCCCGCAGATCCCCACATCCAACGCGGGCGAACCAATGTTTTGGGGAAGGCCCTTAGTTCCACCACCCCGTTCCAGGCGATTGCTCAGATCAAAGGTCTGGTAACGAACTTAAACTAGGGGGGGACACCCACATTTTTTGATCAGATAGAAGGTTCCACCTTAAAATACGATACTAATGGCGTGCGAGAAAACATTTTGTTATTAAACGCGCAAAAAAATTACTGTGGAGTGCCTCCTAACCTCTTCCTAGATATGTGAACCTACCTTCCAGGCCTGTCTGTGTCAACTGGACTGGTAAAAACTTAGGGGGACTACCACACATTTTTTGAGGTATCTTCCACTTAGTCATACCTACAAGCTCAAACATTTTTTAGTTTTCAAACAATACCAAAAACTGTGGACATTTTAAAACTCATGTCCGAATTCCTAAAAAAAGAATAGACTAGTAGAGGGACCCAACGCTCTAATAAAAATTTAATCCAAACAACCCATTACAGACACTGCCAGCAAGTACTTCTTATACATTTCACAGATGTGCAGGTTTTGGGTCGGTAAAGTGGACAAACCAGGCAATGATAAATTTAAAGTAATTTTTGGTTTAACTTTAAAAACAATGAAAACTGACTGCCCCTTTAAAACTGTACTATTAGCAGAAGAAAATGTTTTCATAATAGAATGTCACGACTACCCCATTTATGCCCAAACTGATACATGTAAATACAAAAGTGCTCCTCGGATCTTGAAGGCATAAATACAGTGAGTCAAAAACTTGCATTGAGCAATATAGTTCGTCGAAGAAACATCATTCGGAATGACTACAAACTACGAAACAGGTGTTCGCCCCATCACAATCTAACTTTGCTGTTACACAAGACAACAGCTCTTCTCAGAGCCACGCACATCTCCAAACAAAAGTTTCTAAACCTCCTCTTTATCAACAGATTCAGTCTCAGAAAGATCAGGGAAAATCAAGGAGATAGGAAAAAGGAGAAAATCAGTAATCGTAACATAAGTAGATTATGGCGTGGCCCCTCCCCCAAATCGATCAGATCCTCAGTTATGTTGTTACAAAATCTAAAATAACTGACAATTTTTTGAATATGCAATATCAAATATGGTATACCATTTATTCATTTAAATTATAACTATTTTATACAAACCTCATGTTAAAAATGAAAATAAACAGATACATTAAATAAAAAAAATTTTCAGTGTGAA